AGTGTGCGGACACCTTACATTGGCGCCCACAACTTCCTCACAAGGTCACCGCTGCCGCCCCTCTGCGCTCTGCCGCCCCGAGGCCGGACCTCGGTGGCCTTGTGGGAAATCCGGGCCTGCCTGTGTGTACTGCCCAAAATTATTTTGACAGACTCCCATCATGTTGTGTTTTGTGAAGTTAGACTTCATTAGGAAGTGTCGGCTGGAGCGGTCTCGTGTATAGATGGGGTGACATGGGGCGCGCTCACTAATTTTGTGTGATCCGGGTGTATCCTCTGCGGTCCCCACATCGCTCCTCCTTCTTGCAGGCCTCCTGGCGGAGCAGTTCCTGGAGACTTCGGCGGCACAGTTGACCTATCACGGCCTATGCGAACTGATGGCCGCCGTCAAAGAGGGCGAGCTCAGCGTCTTCTTCCGGAACAATCACTTCAGCACGTTGATAAAGCACAAGGTACGTCTCTGCACCCCGTCACCCCTGATTGGAGCTCCGCACAGGCAAGCGGGTCAATGCACAACTAGGATATGTATACGGGAACAGTTCTGCTTGCCAAAGGTTTCGTGATTCTGCCTGGTGATCCAGACACGCCTGCCAGACTGCAAAGCCTTGCACCGGAGGTAGGGAGGAAGGATACAACCCCTGACACTGGTGGTCGGGAGGAAGGATACAACCCCTGACACTGGTGGTCGGGAGGAAGGATACAACCCCTGACACTGGTGGTCGGGAGGAAGGAGACAACCCCTGACACTGGTGGTCGGGAGGAAGGACACAACCCCTGACACTGGTGGTCGGGAGGAAGGACACAACCCCTGACACTGGTGGTCGGGAGGAAGGACACAACCCCTGACACTGGTGGTCGGGAGGAAGGACACAACCCCTGACACTGGTGGTCGGGAGGAAGGACACAACCCCTGACACTGGTGGTCGGGAGGAAGGACACAACCCCTGACACTGGTGGTCGGGAGGAAGGAGACAACCCCTGACACTGGTGGTCGGGAGGAAGGAGACAACCCCTGACACTGGTGGTCGGGAGGAAGGAGACAACCCCTGACACTGGTGGTCGGGAGGAAGGAGACAACCCCTGACACTGGTGGTCGGGAGGAAGGAGACAACCCCTGACACTGGTGGTCGGGAGGAAGGAGACAACCCCTGACACTGGTGGTCGGGAGGAAGGAGACAACCCCTGACACTGGTGGTCGGGAGGAAGGAGACAACCCCTGACACTGGTGGTCGGGAGGAAGGAGACAACCCCTGACACTGGTGGTCGGGAGGAAGGACACAACCCCTGACACTGGTGGTCGGGAGGAAGGAGACAACCCCTGACACTGGTGGTCGGGAGGAAGGAGACAACCCCTGACACTGGTGGTCGGGAGGAAGGAGACAACCCCTGACACTGGTGGTCGGGAGGAAGGAGACAACCCCTGACACTGGTGGTCGGGAGGAAGGAGACAACCCCTGACACTGGTGGTCGGGAGGAAGGAGACAACCCCTGACACTGGTGGTCGGGAGGAAGGAGACAACCCCTGACACTGGTGGTCGGGAGGAAGGAGACAACCCCTGACACTGGTGGTCGGGAGGAAGGAGACAACCCCTGACACTGGTGGTCGGGAGGAAGGATACAACCCCTGACACTGGTGGTCGGGAGGAAGGAGACAACCCCTGACACTGGTGGTCGGGAGGAAGGATACAACCCCTGACACTGGTGGTCGGGAGGAAGGATACAACCCCTGACACTGGTGGTCGGGAGGAAGGATACAACCCCTGACACTGGTGGTCGGGAGGAAGGAGACAACCCCTGACACTGGTGGTCGGGAGGAAGGAGACAACCCCTGACACTGGTGGTCGGGAGGAAGGAGACAACCCCTGACACTGGTGGTCGGGAGGAAGGAGACAACCCCTGACACTGGTGGTCGGGAGGAAGGAGACAACCCCTGACACTGGTGGTCGGGAGGAAGGAGACAACCCCTGACACTGGTGGTCGGGAGGAAGGAGACAACCCCTGACACTGGTGGTCGGGAGGAAGGAGACAACCCCTGACACTGGTGGTCATTAGGAAGGATACAACCCCTGACACTGGTGGTCGGGAGGAAGGAGACAACCCCTGACACTGGTGGTCGGGAGGAAGGATACAACCCCTGACACTGGTGGTCGGGAGGAAGGATACAACCCCTGACACTGGTGGGCATTAGGAAGGACACAACTCCTGACACTGGTCAGAGCTCCAGGTATTTTGCTCCTTCGCCTATGTTATGACTTTGCATCCAAACGGTTTCTGATCCTCAGCTCTGCAATAAATTCCAGTACTCCCGTCCCATGTTATCTGAGATCCCGGGTTCCTGATTGGTCTCCGCGGTCATTTTGGGATTGTATTTTATGGCATTCGGCTTCTATCTTGCTGGGCGCCTCTCTATTCCTGTTGGAGAACATCATATATTTTCATTTGGTGCTATGCTCCCTCTGACCATTAGGGGGCAGAGTTGACTGGGAATGTATATTGGTTTCTACGACTGGGAATGTATATTGGTTTGGTCATGATCATGTCCCTTTAAGAAGCAGAGGTGTATGCGTTGCGTGCTGTGCAGGAGGAGAAGGTGATCTGGGAGAGTCTTCACAACGTGGAAGGGGACAGCTGCTTCTGCGACTCCGACTTCCACCTGACCCAGATGGAGAAGGACGCCACGTACAGCCCCCAGCAGCAGCAGAGGCAGGTCGATCAGGTATGACGGAGGGGGGCGGCATCAGACCTCAGACGCAATACCCTAAAGAGGAACTCTGCCCTTAATCAAAACGGGATTCGCGATGACCAAGCTGGTCGTCGCTGGGGAGATTTCTACCCACTTCCTGTGCAGTGGTGTCACCTTGACAGGAAGTGATGGAGAAATCTGGACAAGGGGGACACGCACAACACTGCATGTGTTTAACCCCTTCCAATTAGTTTGCTTTTGACAGTCTTGACTCTTGTCCTTTTTTTTTCTTTTTCACCATGGCAGGATTACATGATCGCTCTGTCGTTGCAACAGCAGCAGCAAGGCCCCCTGCCCATCAGCGACCTGGAGCTGGCCAGACAGCTGCAGCAGGAGGAGTACCAGCAGCAGCAGCAGCAACAACAGCAGCAGCAGCCCCAGGCCCCGGTACCGGGACCGTCACAGTCCCCTCCGCAGGTAATGTGGGATCTCGGGGTGTCACGGCAGACCTTAAAGAGACCCTGTCTCAAGTATTTCAAATGCCCGATGCAGCGTTTTCCCTAAATGATATTGCAATGTGTCTTTAAAGTTACAAAAAAATCTGGGAGTGTCTGATTGCTGTCTACGCTGGCCCAGCTCCTTTTATGAGGCAGCCAGGGAGCTGTGAAGAGGAATACTATAGAGCAGCCTCCCCTTCATCACGTGACTTAGTTTATTCCCTGTGATGTCATCACTGGCTCTCCGTGCTTCCTTATGCAATTCAGCTGATGGGAGGAGTTATGCAAATATCAGAATGTCTTCGTGGGTCAGTCTGGAGAAGTGGGAGGTCCTAGGCAGGCTTTTTGCATGCAGACCGCCCTAGGTAACACCCACATGGGATGCTGAGCCTCCTTGATTGAAAGAACTGATATTCAGTGAATGCAAGGGGGTGGGGCCAGGGACAGTCAGGCTGGGGGGAGGAAGAGCTAGATGATGCTGAATGTCCTCCAGCCAGGAACAGAGGCGGAGCTCCATCTGACTTGCTGCAGCTTCTAATGCACATTGCGAGAAGCTCTCAGTTTGCAGTGACATCAGAGGAAGAGGGGAGGAGCCGGTACAACTGTGCAAGACTGAAGGGGAGGACGGAGGTCAGATAGAAGACTGAAGGGCAGGACGGAGGTCAGATAAAAGAGTGAAGGGGAGGACGGAGGTCAGATAGAGTGAAGGGAAGGACAGAGGTCAGATAGAAGGTTGTAGGGAAGGCCGGGAGGTCAGATAGAAGACTGGAGGGGAGGACGGAGGTCAGATATAAGAGTGAAGGGGAGGACGGAATTTAAGTTGCATCTTTAGTGTCATCAATGTTGACTTGTAGATAATGAAGTCAGGTGACTGTTAGGCTCCGCCCACTACATACATTTTGCTGTGGTGTGAACCCCCC